TTTATCTTGCATCATGCTGTGCAATCATCACCACCATCATTTCCAAATATTTCCTCCACCGTTAACAGAAACCCAGTGACCTATAAGCACAGACTTGGCCTTTCCCCCTCCTACCATCACTGGCGACCACTAGATATGGATTGAAGTATGTTCGCCCAAAATATATCTTGTAACTCCTAACTATTGCACCTGCAGTAGGGATGTTTCTCTTTTTTATGTTAATGAGGCAGTATTATGTAGGTGTATGTTAAGTCAATATCTTTTGAAATATGAAAGAGCAGATTAAGTAAGCAAGCAAGCAAAGCAAAAATGAAGAAGCTAGAAACCACATGCTCTCCAAGGAACTAAGAAGCTGAAAAGAGACAAAGACCTTCTCTCAGAGGGACAGAGAAGGAACACTTTTCTAAAGCCAGTGCCCTCAATTTGAACTTCTAGCCTCCTAAACTGTGAAAAAACTAAATTTCTGTTTGTTAAAGCTGTCCTCTTGTGGCATTTCTGTTATAGCAGCATTAGATAAACTAAGACACCCATAATAAACTTTGATTTTTATACATTTGACTATTTCATATAAGTTGAATCATAGAATATTTGTTCTTTTGTAACTGACTTATTTCACTCAATATAATGTTTTCAAGGTCCATCTATGTTGTAGAGCAGGACTTCATTTCTCTTTATGGTTAAGTAATATTCCATGGATGTATTTCCTACATTTCAGTTATACCTTTAACTGGCAATGGACATTTAGGTTGTTTTATCTTTTGGCTCTTCTGACATCCATTTTAGTCTTTTCTTCCTTTCCTGTCTTTTAATGACCTTTTGCTTTTTTTTGTATATGACGTTCTTAATGTGATCCTGTAACTTGTCTCATCTTCAGTCTTTGGTGTTCAATACCACAAAGCTATTCTTCAGACAGTCTCTAAATTCAGGTGAGATATAATACTGAATGTATTGTGGACTGAAAAGAACTAACAAATCTTCTCTGGAAGAAGAGCAGCCGGAATGCTCCTTGAAAGTGAGAATGGCCAGACTTTGTCTCACCTACTTTGGACATATTGTCAGAAGGGACCATTCTCTTGAGAAGAATGTCATGCTTGATAAAGTAGAGGGTCAACAAAAGAGCGGAAGGCCCTCAACAAGATGCATTGACATGGTGGCTGCAGCGATGGGCTCAGGTATAGTAGGGGTTGTGAAGCTGGCACAGGACCAGGCAGTGTTTCATTCTGTTGTACTTAAGGTCATTATGAGTCAGAGATGACTTGAAGGCACATAACAGCAACATAATCAAGGTCATATTTTGGCTCTCCTGGACTTGTTTTAATTTTCTTTAGATTCAACTTGAACTTGCATAAGAGCAATTGATAGTCTGTTCCACAGTCAATTTCTAGTCTTGTTCTAACAGATGATATTGAGCTTCTCCATCACCTTTTTTCCACAGATGTAGCTGATCTGATTCTTGTGTATTCCATCTGGCAAGGTCCACATGTATAGTCACTGTTTATATTGTAGAAAAAGATATTGGCAATGAATAAGTCATTGGTCTTACAAAATTCTATCATGTGTTCTCTGACATCATTTCTTTCATCAAGGCCATATTTTCTAATTACCACTGTTGCTTCTTTGTTTCCAACTTTCTCATTCCAATACAATGTAATTATCAGTACATCTTGATTGCATGTTTTGTCAATTTCAAACTGCAAAAGTTGGTAAAAAAAATCTTCAATTTCTTCATCTTTGGTTTTAGTAGTTGTGTATAAATTTGAATAATAATAGGATTACTGGTCTTCCTTGTAGGTGTATGGATATTATCATATCACTGACACTGTTGTACTTCAGGTTAGATCTTGAAATGTCCCTTTTGATGATGAATGTGACACCTTTCCTCTTCAATTTGTCATTTGTAGTATAGTAGACCATATGATTGTTAGATTTAAAATGCCCAATACTAGTCCATTTCAGCTCACCAATGCATAATCTATCAATCTTTACACATTCCATTCTATTTTTGATAACTTCCAATTTTCCTAGATTCATACTTCTTACATTGCACATTCTGATTATTAATGAATGTTTGCAGCTGAATTCGTATTTGAGTTGTATGAAAGTAGCTTAATTCAATAGAAGAAACAATGAAATAAAAGAGCTGAACTAATGTTACCAAAGGGCAGCTCAAAATGACAAAGTAAAGCGTTATAATGAAATGTGCAAAGACCTGGATTTAGAAAAACAAAAGGAGAAACACACTCAGCAGTTTTCAAGCTGAAGAAACTGAAGAAAAAATTCAAGCCTCGAGTTGCAATGTTGAAGGATTCTGTGGGAAAAATATTGAATGATATGGGAAACATCAAAAGAAGATGGAAGGAATACACAGAGTCACTGTACCAAAAAGAATTGGTTGATGTTCAAACATTTCAGGAGGTAGCATATGATCAAGAACCAATGGTATTGAAGAAAGAAGTCACTGAAGGAATTGGCAAAAATTAAGGCTGCAAGAATTGACAGAATACCCATTGAGATATTTCAACAAATGGATGCAGCACTTGAGGTGCTCACTCGTTTATGTTAGGAAATTTGGAAGACAGCTACATGACCAACCAACTGGAAGATACCCATTTTTGTGCCCATCCCAAAGAAAGGTGATTCCACAGAAAGTAGAAGTTATTGAACAATATCATTAATATCACATGCAAGTAATATTTTATTGAAGATTTTTTAAAAGTAGCTGCAGCACTATATTGACAAGGAACTGCTAGAAATTCAATTGAGATTCAGAAGAGAACATGAAACAAGGGATATCATTGTTGACTTTAGATGGATCTTGGCTGAAAGCAAAGAATACCACAAAGATGTTTACCTGTGTGCTATTGACTATGCAAAGGAATTCTATTGTGTGGGGCATAACAAATTATGGATAACTCTGAAAAGAGCGGGAATTCATGAGCAGTTAATTATACTCATAAGGAACCTGTGCATAGGCCAAGAGGCTGTCATTCCAACAGAACAAGGGGACACTGCATGGTTTAAAATCAGAAAGGGTGTGCATCAGGGTTATATACTTTCACGATATGTATTCAATCTGTATGCTTAGCAGATAATCCAAAAAGCTGTACTATATAAAGAATAATGCAGCATCAGGATTGGAGAAAGACTCATTAATAACTCGCAATCTGAAAATGACATACCCATGCTTGCTGAAAGTGAAGAAGACTTGAAGCATTTACTGATAAACACCAAACACTATACAACCTTCAATATGGATTACACCTCAACATAAAGAAAACAAAAATCTTAACAACTGGACCAATAAGCAACATTATGATAAATGGAGAAGGAATTGGAATTGCCAGAGATTTCATTTTACTTGGATCCATAATCAACACCCATGGAAGGAGCAGTCAAGAAATCAGACTATGTATTGCCCTGGGCAGATTTGCTTCAAAAGACCTCTTTAATTTGTTAAAGATCAAAAACATGACTTTGAAAACTAAGATGCACCTGACCCAAGCCAAGGTCTTTTCAGTAGTCTTATATGCATGTAAAAGCTGGAAAATGAATAAGAAAGGCCAAAAAGGAATTGATGCATTCGAATTGTGGTGTTGCCAGAGAATACTGAAAATACTTTAGACTGCAAGAAGAATGAACCAGTATGTTTTGGATGATATATCACCAGAATGCTCCTTAGAAGCAAGAATGGCCAGACTTCATCTCACATACTTTGGTCATGTTGTCAGAAGGGACTAGTCCCTGGAGAAAGATATCATACTTGGTAAAATAGAGGGTCTACAAAGAGGGGGAAAGTCCTCAAAGAGATGGATTAACACAGTGACTGTAATGATGGGCTCAAGTTTAGCAAGGTTTGTGAGGATGGCACAGGACCAGGCAGTGTTTCATTCTATTGTACATATGGTCGCTATGAGTCTGAACCAACTTGACAGAGCCCATGAACAACAAAAACTTTTAGGCTATTGTGAATAGTGCTGCAATGAACACTGGTGCATAACATATATTATTTTTATAATCCAATAAAATATTGCTTAAATAATAAAGAAACATGCAGGGAATTAATTCAAGGTTATGAAGATTAAAAATTGAACAGATTTTGTTCCAAAATTATGAATAAATATTCATTGAGCTATCTTGAGACATGAGGGAAATGAGACAAAATTATAATTTGAATATAGAAATGCAATTACTTTGAAAATTTTATGGAATTATATACATATATTTATGAAAGTATAGATCTTATATACTTATGGGTACAAGGGGACAGCATAGTGGAGAACAATAGGATAGAGACCCAGATTTGGATATGAATCATAGCTCTGTAAGTCACTATGTTTCTGATATTGAGCTAATTAATCCCTTATAGACACAGTGCCCTGCTGTGAAAACTAGAAATACCATCTAATTAGCAAACATATTATAAGATTAAAGAGAGATCCTGTAAATAAAGAGCCTAGCACATAAACACTCAAAAAATGGTAACAATTATTATGCCTAGCTATATTTCAGGAGCTCTGGTAGTGTAGTGCCTAAGGCACTTGACTGCTAACCAGAAGGCTGGCAGTTCAAACCCACCAGCCACTCCTCAGAAGGAAGGTTGGGCAATCTACTTCCATAGTGATACCACCTCGGAAACCCAAGGAGGGGTCGCTATGAGTCAGGTCTGACTCCACAGCACATAACAGCAACAAGTTATATTTCAGTCATACCCTTGCTATTGTCATTACATTTATTTCTTGTAAATAAAGTAATTCATAATAGTACTTCTTTTATGTCCTTGTAGCATTTATTTTATTTGAGAGATACATTTAAGTTCCTTCTGTTAACAATAGAAAGATTTAATTGTGTTGATGCTCTAGTATTTAAACACTAGCTAGAATTATGTCTAGATTATGCTTTAATTTTCCTAAAGTCATCATTATTTGTTAGATAAGTTTAAAAAGAGTAGTATTATACTGAAAATTATTGCATAATTATAATTGATATATCAATGATTTCAGATTGTAGAATCATCACTGAGAAAGGTGGAATGCGAACCCACTGAAATAGAAGAATTTATGGAACAGTTTACTTTTTTGGATGAAATTTCCTCAAACATTTCTAAATTAGAAAAAGACTACTTAATAATTGCTCAACTGAATGCAGTTGTAAGGTATTATCAGATCTATATTCCACAAGAGCAAGTTGCTATATACAAAATCCTTCTTATCAAGTTTAGTCAGCTAAAAGCAGCTGTGAAGTTAAGTGAAACAAACAAAGATACTGCTATTGCTAAATTCAGAGAAAATTTGGAAGCATATCTCACAGGTCTCCAGGCTGATGCTATTAATTTAAAAGCAAAGGTAAGTTTTTGTTTTTTTATTAAAAATGTATTTGATCTTCATGTTGTTGTTAGTTGCTGTCAAGTTGGCTCTGATTCATGGCATCCTTATATATAAGAAAATGAAATATTTTCTGGTCCTCTTGGGCTTGGATGTGAGAGCACAGAGGAAAAAAGAGAGAGAGAAGCATGAACATCCACATTCTCTCTGAGCATTAGGAACTTTTTCTTCTCCTGAAGTCAGTACTAGAGGGTTCTTCTGGATTTCTGTGCGCCCTGAAGATCATTTCCAAGTTTCTAGTATATTGCATTTAGGCCAGAGGATGCTGGAGAGAAAAAAATGCCACACTTCCCACCAATTTGGTAGCACTTACAATCCTCCTCTCCAGTCTGCTGCTACTGTTTACATTCAGAGTCCTCAAGCAGCCACTCCATGCATTCTGCTTATGCTTTATAGCTATAGTCAGTGAGGGAAGTGGAGTAGGATGTACTCACTTTATTCTCTGACTTTAATTTTATAACCCTTTAAGCTCCATTTAATTTATAATTCTGTTAGCTGACATTGTTCTCTGAAGATCTCAATTCAAAGATTGCTGATGGGATTGGGAAAGCTTAACTTCATTATGATTATAGATATAACTTTGATTATATACAATTTAATGTCAAAATATTTTTCCCTCTCTCTCTCAAGATAGTTCATTTACAAACATAAGTAAATATTAATGAATGGGAAATTATGAGGGAAAGCCTAAGGAAAATTTTATTATAACTTTGTTACATAGGCATTAGTGTTACTAAGCCCTTTCCACTTGTCACAAATGCTGCCTATCAATTTTATATGCTCATCATGTTTTGATTGTTACTGGTGTTTTATTGAATGACCACTCTTCACATAATACAATGTTGCAAAAGTTTCATGGGTTGGTTTTTCTTTTCTTTTTTTTTTTTAAGAATAAAAAGTTATTATTTCAACAACTTTTTATTTGTTTCTATTCACTAAATAGCTGCTTTGTATATTTTACTGTCCTACACCCTGGGAGGTACACAAAAAAACAGCAAAAAAAAAAAATTAACTAAAACTATGTTTAATCTTAAGGAGTTCATTATTTAGTAAGGGACAAATCAGGGGAAAACTGTAGTAAAGTTTAGAAGTTACTGTTGAAAATGTCCACAATTTGATGTCTAATAGATAAAACTCTAATACAATGCAATATGTGATGGTGTCATAAAAGCAATACAAAATTCAACATGAGTAGAAAAAGGATGGAAAGTAAGTTTGGGATTTAAGGTTATACCGTGGAACCCCCACTTCCTATTTGATTAATAACTTCAGAACTTCCTTGTAAAGTTGTGAATAATATTATCTATCTTTGAAGATTATTGTATGGACTTAATAAGAAAGATAATGTATTTAGAACACCTACCACACATCTGAGACAAAGAAGGTACACAATGAATTATAGATATGATAATAGCTAAAATTAACACATGCTGTAAGGATAACCATTTCAGATGATAATTGCAAATAATGTTTGTTAAAGCTTAGATTGTGTACTGAAATACTTTAACTGTGTTGGTAAAACATGTTTTAGTTAGGAACGTTTTGGTCTCTCAGAATATTTTACTGGTTCTTTTAGGTAAGAAGTTCTGTTCTACTATGTGCTAGTACTCGAGTATCAACAGCAATGGAAATGATGCAGACTATCTCAGAAGAAGCTGCAAGTCTATCTAACAAAGCTAAAACATATGCAACTTATCAGGATCGTTTCGAAGATTTCCAATCTCATAACCACTCTCTTAATATGGAGGAAATTACACACATTGTGCTTTCAGAGATCTCTGAAATTGAATGTGACTTAACTTTGAGGAAATTGTTGTGGGAAGCACAAGAGGAATGGGCAACACTCTCTTGGGAATGGAGGAATACTTCTCTTCAAAGTATCGATATAGAATCAGTGCAGAGAAATGTTTCAAAATGGATGCACATCATCTTAGTACTAGAAAAAGGTAAAAGTGGCTTTTTCAAGTTTTCTCACCTAGGATTATGTACGTAATGGGCTGTGGGCCAGCAAAATTATTGTTTTTGGCCTTGTTTCTTCAACTGTTCCTGTGGGCTATAGAGACAGGACAAGAGTATAGGTAGGAGTTAGTTGCTGAGGCAGGAAAGACATCAAAACTTAGCAAGATGTTTTTTAAAATGCTAATGATTTTTATATTCTCTAAAAGGGTTCCCTAGGGTTGAACCCGGGAGCTCTGGTAGCATAGTGGCTAAGACACTTGCCTGCTAACCAGACGGCTGGCGGTTCAAACCCACCAGCCACTCCTCGGAAGGAAGGTTGGGCAATCCTACTTCCGTAGTGATACTGCCTCGGAAACCCAAGGAGGGGTCGCTATGAGTCGGGGCCGACTCGACGGCACATAACAACAACAACAACAGGGTTGAACCCCAGATACTTCACCCTACTTCTGGTTCTTTTTAGGGTATGAGCCCACATTTAGGTACAGCAGAATCTGTACCTAAATCCTAACTGTGTGCTTACAGTATCCTTTAGGCGATGGGAAACACTTGAAAAGTCATTTTGGGAGGTTTCCCTTATGCTGACGATCAAGCTTGAAATCATTTGCGGATGCAAAGATGCTGTTCCTATATGAGCATCCTTACCTCATATTTCCAAAAAGAAAGTGTTGTTTCACCTGGCCAAAAGAATGCCTTAACTTTTTTTTTTTTTTTTACTTCTCCTTTATCTCTCAGCATTACCTCAAGCTATACTTCCTTCTCAAGAAAAGTAAAAAAGAAAACTTTTATTTCCCTTGTTTTTAAATACACAAGAAATATAATGATATCACAAAAAGTTCTTAAAAGAGAAAAACTGGAGGAATCACCCATCATCTCACTGTGTTAACATAATGATCATTTTGTGCATTTGCACTCAATATAATGTCATATATATGTTTCTGAAAACAATATATAAAGTAACAAGTAGACAATACTTGGTTTTATTCATAGTTTCCTAAATAAAATCTTGTGCTTTGCCAAAGTCTAGTCTGGCAGAAACCAAACTTATTAGCTTGTCCTTCTGCTTACGCAAGTGTTTGGAAAACAGTTTGCTACTCAACATGGACTTATAAAAGAATCCCCATCTGTACAAATAGGTCTTTCTACCCCCTCCTCTTTTGTTTTCTAAGTTGAGTAAAAAGTTTCTAAGAGTAGAACCTTTCATTGTACTGGTTTTGATTCCTATATCCCAGTGGCTTGTCAATGCTATATGACAGACAAATGCTGGTCTATGACATAGTTTTCACCTACATTTCCTATGTTTTGGTGTTAAAATATCTTCTTTATCAAATGATAATGATGATAGTATTTTTTCCTTAAATTTCTTCCTTACTTAGCAAAATTTAAAAGTCCAAAACCTATGACAGTCTTCTGAATATGAATGCCAGTATCTGTGTTTCTGTATATCTATTTTTATCAGTGAAAATAGGGAACAATTACGGTAACTGGCCATGTGTAGTTCAAATATTACATGATGACTTGGTTCTGATGGTCTTGGGTCCTAATCATCAGTCCTGATAACAATTTCTTTTTAATTTAGTCCATAGTTGATTTTTATAGAGGGATAATGTTAACAAAGCTTATTATATTGCAGGTATTCCATGAATTACAAATGAAATCCACTCCCAACAGTATCTTGAAGAATTTATAGGTCAGTTGGAACAGGTGCACATGGTTCTTATTTAGCTTTTAATACATGAAAAGTCTTGAAGATTTTCAGTGATTTAAAAGCTGCACATTTAACAAGCGAAACTGATTGTGATTAATAATTTTTTATGAGTAGGGATTGGCTCAGTTGTTTAACAGTGAGAGCAAATTTATATAAATATTAACCAGATTTTGAGCCAAAACAATGCTGTCCGTCTCAAAGATGGCAGCTCCCCACTCAAACATAGCAGAACTCTCAAACTCACTGCCCTCGAGTCTGATCCAACTCATAGTGGCCCCTCCTTGGGTTTTCAAGGTGGCATCACTATGGAAGTACATTGCACAATCTTCCTTCCAAGGAGTTGCTGGTAAGTTTGAACCACCAGCCTTCTGGTTAGCAGTCAAATGCCTTAAGCACTATGCCACCAGAGCGCTCCAAAGATAGCAGAGTCCAGCCTAATGCACTACTTTGGATATGTGTGGCTCTCCAAGGTCCTGCCAGTAGTCCAATTTTACACATCAGGTTCCTGAAAGAGCTTGCTACACCTCTTTGGTGTCACCCTTTCCAAAGTTTAGAACCATAATTTTCCCATTCTGATTATCAAGACAAATCACTCAAATTACAAAAATTCAGGTCTGTTCTTGTTTTGCTTTATCGACTATGAAAGAATCAATTTGAATAGATTCCAAGCTCTATTTAAAAGGTAAGTAGGAATTGTCTATTATGTTGGACGTTTGTAACCTAAGGATTGCCTGTATTTTAATGCAGATTGATGACTGATAAGTTATTATATTAAATTGCATATTTAGAACAATTTTTATTTTTTTCAATTTGTTTTCTGGTTAAAAAGTATGATGAATGTGTCATAAACATATTGACTTATTGTTACTTACAGGTTTACCTAAAAATGATTTGCTAACAAATTTTAAGCAATCAGTGACAGATTTTAAACAAGAGCTGCCTATCATCATAGCTCTGGGAAACCCCTGTCTCAAACCAAGGCATTGGGAGGCTATCCATGAGATTATTGGAAAGTCAGTTTCCCTTGATAAAAACTGTTCAATAGAGAATCTTCTAGCACTCAAGGTAAATAAAAGTAACTTAAAAAATAGATTGAAATACCAGAGGGGCTGATTTTAATCTATAAGGAATAGAAATTAAAAAGTTTACAGAGTATCTGGGAAATGAAACCAAAAACCAAACTCACTGCCTTTGAGTTAATTCCGACTCATAGTGACCCCTCCTTGGGTTTTCCAGGCGGTATCTCTACAGAAGTAGATTGTCCAGTCCTCTTTCCGAGGAGTGGCTAGTGGGTTTGAGCCACCAGCCTTCCAGTTAGCAGTCAAATGCCTTAGGCACTACACCAACCTGAGTTGGGAAGTAGGAGTATATTAATAGATTTTAAATGATTAAGAAATTCCATTTAATTAGAGATCTTAGATTAGCTATTATGCCATTATTGTCTTTGTGACTAGAAAACAATAATACTGGTTTTCACGCATGACAAATGAAATTGGTGTTACTACTTAACAGTGTTGCTTCTTATAGAGAATACATTTTATTAGAATAATTCATAAGTAAATATTATACTCCATTTTATATAAAATGCAAATATATTAGGAGCAAGTTCGGAAAGCCCTGCCAATAATTTGATATTTAAACTGCATGATTAACAATTATTTGCTATGTAAATTCTGTCATAAAAATATTTTTTCCCATAATTTTCATGGTTAAAGAATTTTCTACTTTTATGATTCACTTATAAGCCTCATTTATGTTTCTAGTTTCACAATTGACAGTGCCTAACAGAGTGAAACATTTCATGCCTATGAGTTTCTGTTGAATGACCTGTTGTAATGAAAAATATGGCAAAAATTAAAAATAATTCAAAAAGAAAAATTTTTAAAGATAATTTTAACTTGCCTTAATAATTTGCTTATTTTATATTTCTACCCATAACAGCAACCTCTTTCTTGAACCCTAGACTCACATACCCAATTTCCTATTCAACACCTCCATTTATCTATCTAATACTTATCTCAAAACTAACATATCCAAAAATACACTTCTCATTTGCCATTTCTATTCTCAATTTCTGCTGTTCTTCTGTCTCCTCTCCCTCAGTTAACGACAGCTCCATTTATCCAATTGCTTTGGTTAAAAAGCATGAAATAACCTCTGACTCTACTCTTGCTCTCACACTCCTAATCCTATCTAAATCTCTTATCCTTTCCTGGATTATTATCATAGCCTCGTAACTGGTCTCTGTGTCAAGAAGTGAAGTCAGAAGCTATCATACATTCAGAACATGTGGGCCAATGCTGAATATCTAGGAAGATTTTGATGATTTAGTGATTTTCAAAGTCTTGGGTGATTGAAATCATTACAATTACAGGTCATGTCAGATAGAGGGTGGGAATCTGGTAGCCTAAGGGTAGGAAGTAATAAATGTATAGCAAGCAATATAAGTTAGATAGTTTTGAGTTTCAAAGGGTTCTAGTGAGCTACCCTTATATATCTAGCATGAATAGATAATTAAAAAATGAAAGCCTATACAGTTTATCAAGAGTCTAAATTAGGACAGTTCAACATCTAAACAAAAATGAATATGTTCTTCAGTCTCTGGAAATATTGTAGCCAGGGGTCCTTCTTGACATTAATTATAATAGAGAGGATAAGCAGATAATCAAGTGGTAATCTCTAGTGAGCTCTGCAAGTTCCTGGGTGATTTTGATCATCCTGTAGAAATTCTGACAACTTATTCAGTGTAATGTAAGAGCCTAGATGAGTATATTCAACTGGATAACAATTTTTTTTTTTTCTTAAGTGGGTGGACAGGATTTAATCCAGATACTTTGCCTTCACGTATTAAAACTTGTATTTCTTAGGGTTGACCCAGAGTCTACGGCCATGCTACAAGATAATCAAGGACAGAGAAGATGTATCAAATGAATAGATTATGATGTCATAAGTTATATGACAACTGTTCTTTCCAAGATGTTGTGTAGATTTTGATTCAGTAATAATTAGAAGAGGTCAATGTTATTATACACAAGATGAACAGTATCACTTTATGATTGATCATTTTCACTGTCACATGACATCTGCTTTACAATAGAGGCATATGAGTATTATGGACATGGAACTCATCTGAAACTTCACAGATATTCCTAAATCATTTCCAAGACCCAGTTTTTGTCTGTCAGGTCCAAACTTTGACCTTACAGACTCGACAAGCTAGAAATTCCTTGGCTAAAATTTTGCCTTACACATTATCAGTACTGAGTTTCATCTTTAATAATCTCAGAATTTCAGCATTGGGCACAGAGTTTGTTCTTCAGTATAGAACCTTGATGGTTCTATGGTTCCTTATTTGCTTTTTGCTGAATAACCTATGTCAAGAGGTTGACTTCATCCCCAATGTTGTTACTTAAGGCCATTAGACCACCAATTTTCTTTCAGTTTGCCATACATTGGTGACTTGCTTGTTTCTGTGATATTGAAAGCTATGTCACTGGTATCGTATATACCAGTAGGGGCACCATGGTAGACAGGTTTCCATAAAGCTTTCAGACTAAGATAGACTAGGAAAAAGGCCTACCAAAAGTTAGCCAATGAAAACAGAATATTTCCAGTAGTGCTAAAGATGACCCCTCAGTTTGGAAGACACTCAAAATGTGATCATGAAAGAGCTGCCTCCTCAGAGTAGAGTTGAATTTAATGATGTGGATGGAGTAAAGCCATCTGCACCTTCATTTGCTGATGTAGCTCATTTCAAAATGAGAATTAATGTAAACATCTATTAATAATTGGAACATGGAATGTACAAAGTATGAATCAAGGAAATTTGGAAGTTGTTAAAAATAAAATGGAATGCTTGAAGATTGATATCCTAGGCATTAGTGAGCTGAAATGGACTGGTATTAACCATTCTGAATCTGGCAATCATATGGTTTACTATGCCAAGAATGACAAGTTGAGGAGGAGTGGTGTTACATTCATCATCAAAAAGAACATTTCATGATCTCTCCTGAAGGGCAAAGCTGTAAGTGATAGGTTAATGTCATTAGACCTACAAGGAAGACCATTTAATGCAACTGTTATTCAAATTTATGCACCAACCATGAATGCCAAAGACAGAGAAATTAAAGATTTTTATGAATGCCTGCAGTCTGAAATTGATCAAACATTCAATCAAGATGCATTGATAATTACTGGTTGTGTTAGATGCCATGTGCTTTGGTAACATCGGGACTGTGCCTTTTTACTTGTCAACCTTGGGGCTTCTCAGCCTCAGCAACAGAAGCTGTGTGAGTGAAGAAACACCTCTAGCTCCAGTGGGCCGGGAGCAGGAGGCAGAGCTGGAGCCCAAGGTTGAGGGGCTTTCACCTAGCCCCTAGATCCTGGCATTTTGAACTTGGACTTAAAGCCTCCAAATTGTAGGAATAAATTCCTGTTTGTTAAGACTGTCCCATTTTGGGATATATTCTTATCAGAGCAGCACTAGGTAACCAGAACACTGGTGTTTGGAATGTGAAAGTCGGAAACAAAAAAGTAAGGTCAATAGTTGGAAAATGTATCTGTGGTGATAGGAAAAATGCTGGAGATTGCATGATAGAATTCTACAAGGCCAATGATTTATTATGTTATCAAAATTTAATTCAAAACAAAGTACAGCCATACATTGACAGGGAACTGCCAGAAGTTAAAACCAGATCCAGAAGACACAAAATAAGGGGTACCATTGGTGATGTCAGAAGGACCTTGGCTGAATGCAGAGTACCAGAAAGATGTTTGTCTGTGTTTTATCAAATATGCAAAAGAATTTAACTGTGTGGATTACATATTATTAATAATATTTTGAAGAAAGGGAATTCCAGAACACTTTATTGGCCTCATGCAGAACCTGTGCAGTCATTCAAACAGGAGAAGGAGGTATAACTTGGTTTAAAATATGTGACAGAGTCATATTTTTTCACCTTACTTTTTCAATCTCTATGCTGAAAATAATCTGAGAAGCTGGGCTATAAAAAGAAGAGCGTGGTAGAAAGATTGGAGGAAGATTCATTAACAACCTGAGAGAGAGATGCAGATGACATAACCTTGCTTGCCAAAAGTGAAGATGACTTGAAGCACTTACTGACGAAGGTAAAAGGATACAGCCTACAATATGGATTACATATGAACAGAAAACAGAAATTCTTACAACCAGACCAATACAATACCATGATAAGGTCAAGAAATTGAAGTTGTGAAGGATTTCATTCTTTGGGGATGAACAATTAATATCCATAGAAGCAAAATCAAGAATTCACAGTGGCATATCACATTGGGCAGATCTGTTGTAAAAGACCTGTCTAGTGTCGATTCTTGAGCCGGTTCTGGCAAGATGGCGGACTAGGAAGAAAGACTGCACAGACCCTCTTCAACAAAGAAAAGGGAAACCAATTAACACAGACACAGAAGATAATCCTGGACCCCTGAGCCTTGAAGGGAAGGAT